AGGTGTTTTAAAATAGTCCTTTCTGTTAATAGGCGCAGACGTAGATATGAGTCTACAGCCGCTTCAACCCGAAGAGTTGTGCTCGAGGGTGAGCACAAATCAGGAGAATAGTCTTGTTTGAGGGAGAGCACACGTCAGAAGAGGCCGTGGAAGATTCAAAGATTAGGACGTCATGTGACCAACTTATATAAATGTAGCTGCTTTTTTGACTGCCCAAACGCCAGCCTCCAGCTGAAGAGAAACTGTATGAGCAGTGTAATTTATTTATTAAGTGATTATGTAAAGTCTATTCTTATAAATATGTGTATTTAGAAGTACTGTCTTTTGCTTGTAGAATTGTATTGTCATATTAAAGGTAAATATGTGTAAATCTACAATTTCTTTATTTAGACATCTCTGTTTCTTGTTTCTTACATAAATAAATTATATGATGATAAGGTAATTAAAGTATTTTACAAAAAAATAACTTTTTCGTTACATTGTTAATGGAATACTACACATGCTTATATATATACAATTTTAAACTTTCCCGTGAAAATATTACAACAGTTAACTTCCTTAAGATATGAAATATTAAAAAATAATGTTTTTTATAACTGTAGATAATGTCCACTCAAAGCCAAAGTGCCCATTTACCTTGTAGCTATGACAAAACTCTTAGAAACAATGTGTTGTCTGATTTGAAATTACGGCTTATTTGGATGATATTTTTTTGTACAAAACCAATTGAAAATTAGCAATTTTGGGTGTACCGCGCCTTCTTAAAACTTATAACCTATCTCTATTCTCTCATTCCTATCCAAAGTCTTCGAGCGTCTAATTCATAACCAATTGAATTGATTCCTTTCTCGTCATGAACTCGTAAACTCTTTTTAATCTGAATATCGTCTAGGCCACAGTACAATAAGTGCATTGATTAAAATCACCGTCGATATCCGATTTGGGATGAAAACTGGTGTTTTAACTGTACTAACATTGTTTGACTTCCGCTGTGCGTTTGACACAAAATAATTTTGACATCCTACTGTCCCTACTGCGCTTTATTAACATCCATCTGTAACTAAGTGGTTTCTCTATGAATCTTATGGACGCCGGCAACGAGTACGTATTGATGAGAAGTTTTCCTCTTGGTGCGACACGATTGCCGCAGTTCCACAAGGTGGCACGCTTCTCCTCTTCTTCTCGCAATTTTTATTAACAACATTTCTAAGAACCTTTCTTCTTCCTACCACATTTATACAGACGACCTATCAATCTTCTGTCAAGCTCCCACTTCACGGCTAAGTGAGGCAGTGCAAACCACTCATATTGATTTATATCTTATAGTAGTATGGAGTAAGTATTTTGGTCTTAGAGTGAATCCGACAAAGACTAATACGATCATAGTGGGTAGTTTTAGGCTGATGCTTAACTTGACTGGCACCTCCTACCAAAACTTAATTTCGATGTTACTCATATATCTTTTATTGGAGTCTGAGTTGGAGACCACAATTGCAAGCAGTCAGTCGCAAGCTGTATGCTTCTCTTGCATCATTAAGGAGGTCACGTAATTTTTTGCCGACTACCCAATGGTAGGTCATCATCTTCAAGAACTGATAAAAAACCATTTTTGCTTTTGTGATTCTAAGTTGATAATACCCTTCCTCGTATCACTAAAGTATATTATTAGTATATATAAGAATTGATGTATCTTTACCTAATGTTACTTATCTATCTTGGAATTTACGTACTCTTAGTCTTTACCTCCACTTTTCATAACTGCTATTTATTCTTCTCCATCCAAAGGCTGTCTAGAAGAAATTACTGTTAGCGATAAGACCGCCAATGGCAACAATATCGTGTTATATATGTATACTGTTAAAAATGGTGTGACAATAAAGTATAACTATTATAATCATCATCAGCCCACAGCAGTCCATTGCTGGACATAGGCCTCCCTCAATACGCTCCATTTTTTCCTTTTATTGGTAATAGCCATCCATGGTAGAAGGTCGCTGGTAGGAGCAACGACCTTCTTTAAATCATCGGTCCATCTTGCTGGAGGTCTTCCTATACCACGCTTGCCGATTCGCTGTCTTCACTCCAAAACTCGCTTACCCCGTCAGTTATCGGAACAGATATGACCAACCCATTACCACTTCAGTTTACTAACACTGTGTGCTCCGTAGATGGCTTTGGTTGTCTGTCTGATGACCTCGTTATGAATTTTATCCCACACTTACCGCCTCCATAATTATACTGTTTATGTCTTTTACAGGACAGACCAAAATTGTCTGATAGATTGATTATTCTTAGTCTTGTTTTTGTGTATTGATGGTAATAATTTTTTTTTTTTCAATACAGACACTTGCCAAAAATTATTTTATTTATATTTAATTGGTACCCTAACAGCGCTACCATAGTAAGTTTTACACTGAACACGAGAATTTTAAATATTATCGAATATTTTATTTTCCTAAAATGAATAGATTAAAGAATATAAAATCTTTTTTGATTGGCAGTTGTTTTTGAAAATTAATTAAATTTCTAAGAGTAACAAATGGCGGGATAGGGGTCGTGTATCATGAAGCTTTATTTATTTGGACCACTCTATAAAAAAAATCTTCAAGAATACATAGTATGTAAACTTAACAATAAGAATTATGATGTTTAAAATTAGATATTCAATATTTTTACTGACATAACAATATAATATCTAATTATTAATGACGATAAAGTTGTCATTTATTAAAATAATTAAGTAATAAATTAAAGCACAATATTAGTATTATTATTGATTTTAAATCGTTGTCGCTCAGCCCATTGTATAACACATAATAATAAAATTGCGCTAATATATTTGACTTTGAGTTTAAGCTTTAATCCTTAATAATAAAATTCAAAGTAAGCATTTCTATCAAGTGATATGCTCCTGAGTATCCTGTGTGTACATAGATGCTATGTTGTCTAATCGCGCTCACTCAGCAGCTCTCTTGGGTTACCAAATAGTGACAGGTGCCAGACTGTCACATTTTAAGGGCCTCTAATACGAATTCCGATAGTCTTGTTTACGGTGGGTATGGAATATAAAGTCGACATGTTTTTTTTTTTTTGAAACTTCTCTATTTCATTATCATCAGAAACATCGTAACAGAAAACAACATAAATGAAAGGCAACTATGTTAATTAGGCGCAGTTCTTCATTTTTACAGTTCTTAAAGAAATTAATTCATTGTTCATTTTTTCTTATTATACACATTTACATATATTTTTTATTTTACTTTTAAGGTACGTTTAAATAACAACCTTATACCTATCCAACTTAAGATACAGTTAAATTAGTAATAAGAAACTGTTTTAACTGCAACAAAAAAAAATAGTGTACCCACCAATGACATTACTGAACGTGTAACTAAGCTACGCAGACATAGTTTAGTTTAGTACAAAAAAAGATTTTCTTATTTATAAGGTAGGTACGAGTAGTATATATGTATATCTACTTTATTTCGTTATTCAATATAAAAGTTTTAATGATATTATTTATCTCAACTAATTAAGTATGTTTTATTTATTGCTAGCTTTTCATCAATAATCATTCAACTGTGAATTAGTGGTGTTTTAACGGTCGCGAACAATGACCATTTCTGTAGATTCACTAGAAACTAAAATACTGATAAAATCGAGACAAACGGCACGATTGTCCCTTCGCTTAAATAAAAGACATTATACATATTTATATCATTTGCTCTGTTTTAATTTCAGACGAAAAAGATGTATTAAACGTTGGTATTTCCCAATAATCAATCGTATAAATCGTATCACGTTTAGTAAATAAGTACAATAATGCGATTATCTAAAGCACTTATGTTATAAAAAAGAAACAATAGAGGTACTACAATTACCCATTGCCAGACAAAGATAAGTATATTGTTCATTTCCTTTTTTTTGTTTTTCGTAGATAGTGCGGTGCGGCGGCGGCGGCGGTAAGAGGTGCTAGACTCCTAGTCTCATTGCGGAGGTCTTCCAATTATTCCCAGTAAAAATATAAAAGATATCATTATTTTTTTTTTTTTAAATAGGTTAATTATCTTTGTGAAGAAGCACTTGTTGCTTTTAATGAATTTTGCCTCTGACAAATTAATTTTCTCTTTATGAAATGTAAATATGATATTACAGAAAAAAAGAACTTCATAAAAGCTATCGTAAAACCTTTGGTATCTTACTTTGATCCTAGCAAGAAATATACTTATATGGTTATTGAAAATAATAATGTCTTATATCCTAACAGTCACAATATTTGCGTCAGCTGTATATAACGATTGCGTGCCCTAAATACGAAGTCCGAGCTAACAATATAATTTTATAGGATATGAAACCGCAATGTCGTAACTTAAAGTATTTCCGAGTGGATTAAGAGCGTTTTATTTTATTGAATGTTAAACTCAAATATTAGTCAAATGTGGCTTGATGTGTAATTTTGTTGTTGGAAAAGCTCTACTCGACTCTTATAGGATACAGAGTGATTATTATGTATTTATGTGGAGAACATCAAAAACATTATTAAACTCTTAACAAAGTCATGTTTTTAATTACGGTTGCAGGGTTAAAAGTTAAATTGAAGCTATCGAAATAACCGTTTGTTGCTGAGTTCGGAGAATTAATGGAAGCATATATAAAGCTTGTGTTGTCCTCAATTACGGGTTAAGACTACTAACTATTACAAAACTAATATAAAATATTTCTATTGGTTTTGTATTCATGGTTCTTGAAATTGGTTTCTGTTACGAATAAATTATCTATCTCCTATGTTAAATCAGTAACATCATCGTTTAGATTATACTGTTATAATTATGGCTAATGGCGATCATAATTAAAATTACTTATTATTATTTTTCGAAGCGGTTACTGAATAGAAACTATAAAATAGGTCACTTAAACTCTTATAAACAGATATTGAGAAAACATTTTTGCAACCATATGACAATATATTTTTATAACATCTATAATTTAAGTTTACTTACGTATTAGGAACATTTCTCATGGCCTTATGCCTCACGAAAACAGCCACCAGTGTGCCATTGCCAACGACGCCAATAATGAATATTAGTGCGAAGATCAATGGTACTATGTACGTCTCGGGTCTCTCGTAATACGGTTGATAGGGCTCCGATCTGTTTTCCGTGTCCAATGTGAAATTGTAATCTTCCATTGTGCATATCTGAAACAAATAAAATTGAATATAACCTTTGGTAAATAATTGAAAGACATGCGAGAAAAGACTTGGTCTGATTGCTGACACAGAGCAGTTCTTTGTCAAGTATGTATTGAAATTTAGTTGCACGGAAACGTAAAATGCTTTATGGTCGAGTGCTTGATACAAGTGCCTCTAAGAAATTTAATAATTTCTCTTTATTGAGTTACTTTTGTCCGCTTTCTGTGTTTGTGTTGTTTATCTGTATTTGTAACGTATTGGGGATCACTAGGTAAGTGTTGTAAAGCTTGTTTAAAATAGCATAAAGGCAATTATGGATACCGATCCACCTGACCCTGGTGGCGGTACGGCTCATTCTCAAGATTTGTTTAGTTCTCAATTTGAGGACAATCAAATATCATCAAATAGAAAACGCACTCAAGCTTCATCATCTAACCCTATTCCGGCAAAGAAAAGTTCATCTGCCCAAATTACTGCGTCAGCGCAAACCACCTACATTCTACCAGAATTTGTAGATAAAAAAACTAACTACGCAAATGATGACCTTGGTCCATTTATTGTTCACATCTCAAAAAGAGAAGAGGCTTCTCAGGGGACGGTTTTGCGACCCATTAATTTTGGCAGATTTCTTCATACCAACAATATAAAAAACATTATATTAGATGGTGTAAAGAGGGTAGGGCGGAATCGCATATCTGTCCAATTTAAATCAGCTGCAGATGCTAACTCCTTCATGGTCCATCCAGCCATTAATGACAATGATTACTTAGTCTCAATTCCTTCTTTCAATATCTCTCGTATGGGAATTATTAGAGAGGTTCCAGTTGAGTGGTCCATGGAGGAATTAGTAAATAATGTTAATGTGCCACTAGGGTACGGAAAGGTTTTCCGAGCAAGACGCTTAAACAGGAAATCGGTGATAGGAGGCTCTACTCCAACATGGATCCCCACTCAAACAGTTGTGGTGACTTTTACAGGAAAAAAACTGCCAGAACACATTTATTGTTATTATACTTCCTTACCAGTTGAAATGTACAGACTCCCAGTAATACAATGCAATAACTGCTGTAGGTTTGGCCATGTAAAGTCCCAATGTCGCTCAAAACCACGATGTTTTAATTGCGGTGACATGCATGAAGGAGAGACCTGTTTAAGCCAGGCTCCTCCTAAATGCATCCTGTGTTCTGGAAACCACCTAGCCACACATTTTTCTTGCCCAGAACATGATAGACAGAAATCTATAAAACTTGTGATGTCGCAAGAAAATGTATCCTATATGGAAGCTTCAGCTAGATTTGCACCAGTTCGCAAAACATTCGCAGATACCACTCGCGTTAATTCACCAGTGGTTCATCCCCTCTCCTCTCAAATGAATTCCCCTCCTAGGCCACCTACCACCTCATATAAAAAAACTATTCTGACTCCCCACCACCCCCCCTCCCCAGCTTCCAGTCCTGGCTATGACAGATTGACACACAATAATATTATTCGTTCCCCTTCCTTTTCTCAACCAAATGGATGTGCTATTAATAGTAACATCTCTCCAAATATTGTGCCCAATGATAATCTAATAGAAATGTTATTTTTACAACTAACAACTTTAATTAATTTTATACAGCGTTTTAATGATATCGAACTACCGTACAATATTCGACAAAAACTTACTGAGCTTTCCTCCTTTAATAACATTCACTCCAATACTTCAGTGGAACTGCAGGAGTATTAAATATAAAAAAGCTGATATTATTTACATTATAAACTCCCACAGGCCTGTGATCCTTGCCATGCAGGAGACTTGGCTTGGACCGAGATCCATGTTCTGGATCCAGGGCTATGCATGCCTCCGGGATGACAGGAATGACGGCAAAGGTGGCTCCGCACTATTTATTTTAAGAAACATTAATTTTAATCCTATTGTTCTTCCTCCTCATGACCCTGATAATTTTAATATAGTAGCTGTCCGCGCCATGAATATTTCATTTATCTCCCTTTATATACCTCACCCAAGTCTTCCTATTTTACTTCAAATATTTTCTATAATCAAGAACATTGAAAAGCCTATTGTGGTTCTAGGTGACTTTAATATCCATAATGAAGTGTGGGGTTGCCATACTTCTGACCCTCTCTCATCTACACTATTAGATCTCATTGATGACTTAAACCTTTGTATTTTAAATGATGGCTCTCCAACCCGCAGGGTTTCCCCATCTCAAAACCCTAAGAGTGCCGTTGACTTAACCCTGTGCTCAGCTAGTCTGTGTTCTGGGCTTAATTGGCAAGTAATGCCTAATACTTATGGCAGCGATCATTTCCCCATCCTCTTATTTCTACCTGCACCCAGAAAGGAACCCCCAAAATATATAAATAGACAAAAATTTGTTTTATCTCGAGCAGATTGGAAAAAATATTATGTCACATCAGATGAAAAAATCAACAATCTATCCTCTCTAAACTCAGAGGATGTAGATGCAGATTATCAGCTTTTCAAGAAATCCATAGTGTCTGCTGCAGAAGAATGTATACCGATGCGTAAACCCCCACCGAAAAACCTTTCCTCCCCACCATGGTGGGACAAAGATTGTACTACAGCCTGTAAAAACCGCAAGAGCGCAGAAGCGATTTATGCCTCTTCAATGAGCCCGGAGAACTTTCTTAATTATAAAAGAGTTGCAGCAGAAACGGTTAAACTGTTAAGGTTAAAAAAAAAGGAAGGCTGGTCCAAATTTTGCTCAACTCTTTCACCAAAGACTCCCTCCACACTTGTATGGAAAAATATTAAAAGGTTTCGCGGGTCGATATCTAATATGTACCATCACAACACTTCTACAGACCCATCTCCTTGGTTAATACCCTTTATCCACAAAATTGCCCCTCCATCTGCCCCGTTATTGGAAGAGATTGTCAACCTCCCTTCAACTAAAACATCCTCGTCAAATTTAGAGGCATCTTTTTCTTTAGAAGAGCTGTCCTTAGTGTTATCTGGTTTAGAGGACTCCTCTCCAGGAGTAGATGGAATCCCTTACTCCTTTGTCGCCAAAAGCGGAAAGGATACCAAGCTTTTCTTTCTAAAGACAATCAATACAATCTTCAATAGAGGTACCCCACCTGATGAATGGAAGACACAGATTATTATCCCAATCTTAAAGACAGGCAAACCGAGTAACGACCCATCTAGTTATCGTCCTATCGCTCTATCTAACACAATGTGTAAAATATTAGAACACCTCATCAAAAATAGATTGGAGTGGTATTTGGAGAACAATAACAGCCTTGCAAAAACACAGTTTGGTTTTCGGAAAGGATTAAGTACTATGGACAGTCTCAGTACCCTTGTCACCGACATCCGTATTGCTTTCTCCAAACGAAAATCAGTAGTAGGCGTATTTCTCGACGTTGCATCCGCCTACGATAATGTTCTTCTCCCGGTGCTCAGGCAGAAGATGCAACAGCTGAACATCCCTGAGAAGATACATAACTTCATTTTTAATAGCCTTTCAGAAAGATCAATTCTTATTAATTACCAAAATTCTAATTCTTCCTCTAGAAGGGTGTGGAAAGGCCTCCCTCAGGGATCGGTCCTCAGTCCCTTATTATATAGTATTTACACCCATGATTTAGACCTCTCAGTTAACTCATTTTGTAATATTCTCCAATATGCAGATGATCTTGCTTTGTATTTAGAGGTTGATAATATTCAGGATGCAAGTGGCAGACTCAACTCTGCAATCTTCTACCTAAACAACTGGCTCTCAGATCACGGTTTATCCCTATCTATCCCCAAAAGCAGTGTGGTATGTTTTACTAGATCTAGGAGCATTCCACAGTTAGATATCTCCTGTGATGGTCAATCCTTCCCCATAGAAAACAAAGTAAAATTCTTGGGTATGTTTTTGGATACAAAAATGTCGGGTGTTCAACATATAAATTACATCACAAGGAAATGTGAGAAAAATCTGAATATCCTCAGAGCTCTGTCAGGCGTCTGGTGGGGAGCCCACCCAATCACGCAAAGAATGCTTTATAACTCTCTCATTAGAAGCCTATTAGATTATGGAACCCTTCTCTTAGAACCATGCAGCAAAGTTTCTTTAAAATCTTTAGATAAAATTCAAGCAAAATGCCTCCGAATCATTCTTGGTGCCATGAAGTCATCCCCCATAAATGCTATGCAGGTGGAATGTGTAGAACCCCCCCTAGAACTCCGTCGCCAGTATTTGTCGGACAAATTTATTTTTAAGGCCTACCAATGCTCATCACACCCTTTGATCGACAAGCTTCATCTATTACACCAGTTGGTCCCTTCGAATGAATACTGGTCCCACAAAAATCTTCCCTGTTTATTGTTTAGTTATAGAAAACTAATCCACCTCCCCTCTCCTGTTTACCAATGTAGACTAAATCCCCTATTTGAAACTCCATATCAGGCTTTAATTTACCAACCGAAAATAATATTAGATCTAAATATAGATAAAAATGCTGTGGATGCTCAAGCAAAATTTAACCAATTAATGTCGGAGAAATGGGCTGATTGGCTTTCAATATATACTGACGCATCAAAATTATCAGATGATGAACATGTTGGTTCAGCGGTCTGGATCCCAAAATATAAAATTATACTAAACTTTAAATGTCCCTCGTCCTCTTCAGTTTTTTCAGGTGAAGCTATTGCCATATTAGAAGCTTTGAAATTTATACAATCCCATAAGCTCAATAGAGTAGTTATATTTTCGGACTCAAAAAGTTGTTTGCAGGCCATCGAATCTAATCAGTTTCGTTGCAGATTTAAATTTCAATATATTTTAAGAATTAAAACTATTTTGTATGAATGTCATCGACAAGATCTACAAATTGTCCTGGTGTGGGTTCCAGGGCACACAGGTATTAGCGGTAATGAGACAGCAGACGCATGCGCCAAGCAAGCTACAGTTAATGGTTGTCTTTCTCACAGTGGCATATACCCTAACGATTTAGTCGCTATGGCAAGGAAGGATCTACTGTCTGTATGG